AGAGCCTGTTGATGGTGAAATAAAAACAATGTCCGACAGCTATTAAACTGTGCAGGTTAAGACGAGAAACCTCACTGTGGACGTATCACATAGAGAATGACGCGACTGCCCAGTGGGTGGCGCTACACCTCATTTACAGTGTGACCCGTGCAAAAGCCTGGCCGAACGGCATGAGACATACAGCGTTGCCGCTCCTGTACGTGCTGTGCAGAGGAGAGCGTTATTCTTTTTACTCTGCTCTTTAGAGGCTACCTGCCTTCTGGCGATAACTACCCATCAGCCTCACCGATGGGAGAATAGGGGGAGAAAGGGGGGGGGGGGGGACAGACCGATAAAACTCAACTCACCTTTCCTCTTTCATCCACGCACATCTAAACAGTAACGTGCACTCACTGATGCAATTGAGTGCAGCGGCCGTCTACCAATGACGAATCACTTGTATTCATGTGGCCCAAAAAGGATTCAAAGAAATTGCATTTAGCAGAACTTCTTCTTTTGTAGGCTGTGGGATCAAAAGCACCGGGGATGCGAAATTCGATGCGAGGGCCACGTGCGCTCAAAAGACCAGAGCAAAAATAAATGAATACAACTTGCTCTTACTCGAGGCATGTGCCATTTTTTCGCGAGGCATTGATCGGGTGATTAGCGCGTGCTGCCGCCGCTCCTGCCACGTGTCTGGGAAACACGCGTTGATGGACGTGTCTGTCTGTGGCCGCCCCCCCCCCGAGGAAACGCTCCGACGGCATCAAGGTCACCCGCCTGGCACCGCAGCAGACGGATGGCCCCGCTGTGATGCCTTTGACTCAATCATTTCCCGCCTCATCCGTGCAACCGCTCCCTCGCACGCTCACCGGGGCCGTTTGCAGGGAGCCTGAGCGAGGTCGCAATCGGCGGCAGAGAATCGGTTCATCACAGCAGCATCTTCTCCTGAGCAACAGCTACCACATAAGACTGTTAGCCGTTACGTTTAACTAGAGCTCCCTATTAAACTAACTGCCTTTTAGTTGTAAAGCTCTTTTACTAAATGTCGTGTAAAGGGACAATTTGTGTATTTACAGAGTAAAGTGCTGCAGTTACAGCTCATGTCAGATAGATAGATTGATACTTTATTGGTCCCTCAAGAGGAACGTTTTGGTGTCACAGCAGCATGTACAGGGAAGAAAATAGAATTAAAAAATACACATTATATACAATATAATAAGATAACAAATATTAAAATATGAAATGAAATAAACTAAAGCAAGAATAGCTGGAAGGAATCTCCAGCCCCCGTTATGTCAACAGATAAGCAGTCTGGCAGTACAGTAGGTCATTTAACCGAGAAATGATCGTGCATCAGGAGCATTGGCTCACAAATATATGGCCCCATAATAAAGGGCATCACAGCACAGCCGTTCGTTGAGGAGTAAAAACTCATTCTTTTTTTCACCCCATTTTACGTCGGCTCTTCTGGCCCTGGGGCACTCGGCTCCACGACACCCAATTATACCGCGGCTCTGAGCGCGCCGACGACACATCGATTGACACAAGCGACATCCAGTCCGGTCCCAGTGACACGGCGCACCGCTGGTCAAGCATCATTAGCCCCATCAGCCAATAGCGAGGCAGCTCGTTGGACCCCCCCGAGGGCTGGACGCGAAGCTCCAGTTCTAATGCACATATCAAGAGACAAGGAAGGAGTAGTGATAAAGTGATGGGGAGGGGGGGCAACATTCGTGCAGTCACAGGAGCAGTAAAGCTCCGTCATGCTAAACGTGTTCCTCAGTGGCGACTCCTCAGGCCGCTTAGCGGTCAGTGCCACCTGATCGTTCGACGCCTCGGTCATTTCTAGTCAACAAGCTCGCCTCAGCTAGTAGGACAGATGGAGTGACATCATTCCAAAGTGGGCGTTTGGGATGGAAGGTGCTAGGCGCGGGTATTTATTGACAAATGTCCTCATATTTTAATGCGCCACTTATAGTAGAAGTTGAATTTAGCCGAAAGGTACTTTCACAAACTGAATGAGAACTTTCATGAGCCTCCGAGAATAAAACGGCAATGAAGTAGGAAAAGGGACAACAGGTCGGCCCAACCTGGGGCACCTAGTGTGAAGCCCGGTGCTTTCTTTGGCGTCTCTTTCGTCCTGGTTGCCAGAGAGCGACTAAGCGCTGCTCAACGCCGATTGGCCGGATCCAGCCGGCTTGATCTACTTCGACCCCTTCACAGAGACAGCAGGTGGAGTGATTCACCCCTCCGATGAAATCTCCCTTAGTAGTCACGGGGAAGTCCACAGACACTTGTTTTTGTGTCTGCTTCCTTGTTTACAGCAGAATCTCACCGTTGACGTCCTGCCGGAGTGAATAGTTCCCTTATTGTCTGTAATAAGTGTTGATCTGAGTAGAACATTGTGGACCAGAGGAAACGCAGCTTGTTCCTTAACCCCCGACCTCTACAGTCCTTTCCTTTTATTCTCCTCTGCCCGACCAGGACCAAATGACTACGAGGCCTGATGCCCTGATTATTTCATTCGCTGTGTCATTCCTGTAAGCAGCTGTGCGCTTGCCTTGGAGAGTGAAGTAGGGACTTTGGCTGTAGCGGTAGCACAGGGGGGGGGATCGATATACCGGAGAAATTCATCACTAAATCTATCCGAGCAATTACGGATGTCCGCATTGGACTGAGCGTTATCAGCCTCCCTCTCCTCCCTGCTCTGTTTGTTTACCATGTTCCTGACTGCAGCGACCTTTGCAAAGATAATCCTCTTACGTAAGATGAGTAATTGCTCTGGATGTGGAAGAGGAGTGTCCGCTGCTCTTCTCGCTCGGCCCAACAGCTCCTCCGTCCTTGGATTCAAAGTAAAATATGTGGCATTCATCGAACCTGACAGGGAAAGGTCCGATCAGAGAAACACAGAGAGGAAGACGGGGAAGGACATGGGGGGGACGTGGGATGAGCGTGACAAAAAGCAGTGAGCCAGAACCAGAGGATGCAAATGCTACAAAGACAGTTCATCCCCACCAAACGTATCTCTATGTTCTCCATGTAGCTTTCTAGCTCCCTTTCATGTGCCCATAAGCGAAGGTGTGCAGGCTGCAGAGGTGCACGGGGACCAGCGCCACCAAGAGCGCACAGGTGCACAGCGTGCACGCCGGTTTGCCGCAAACAGTCGCTCCACTGGCAGGAATGTTCACTTTGCCTTCATTCGGACAGGAGACGGAGTCAGAGAAGCTGACGGTTACGGCCGGCTATCAGAGAGGGAGAGACTGAGGCAGACGTTCCACTCGCCCATTATTCATTAAAAACACTCCCTCAGCGATGTGCTCACGGAATAAAAGTTGACAGAACACAGCAGGCAGACGCTTCCACTTTCAGAAGAAACTGTACGTAGGATTTTGCATTGTTTAGGAGACACAATATTCCCAATATCACCCATGACTATGGGAATTGGACGGGTTGTGTGTTCGTAGTGGACGAAAGACAAAGAGAGAGAGAGGGACAAGAGGCAAAGCAGCAGCAGAAAATGACAGGAGAGCTGATTTCATGCTCGGGGGGGGGGGTTTGCGTCTCCTTGTGCTTGCATGTCCTGCTTGAGGATGTACTGCCCCCCGGAGGTGTGTGACGGCACTGCTGAGCTTATGAAACCAGCATCAGGAGACTGAATCAAGCCAGTGCCATGTGCGCGTTCTGACAACAACTGGGTCTCTGGGACGCTTTGTCCTCTTTGCATTCGTTTAGGATTTAAATTTCTTTCTGCACTTTAATTGGAAAGGAAGTGAAATGAAGTACCAAAGAAGAGAAAAAATGAACTACAAAATTGCCATCTAGGGCAACGGCGCTGCGGTAAAGACGGTAAAGATTATACGCTTGGACAGTCCAGTCGATATTGGTGAACATCTCCAAGCAAACAGCAAAGACTTGAAGCTGCACTGAGATACATGAGATAAAAGATGAAATATGGAAATCAATGAGATCGCCTTCCGAGTCGTCCCACACGGTGCTGGGAGATGATTTGAAGAGCCCTTATCATCACTAATTTACCCAGGAATACACACTGCCATCGCAAGGGGAGAATTGGAGTCAATTATTGATGCTTCATCAACACCGTAGCGTCACGTGATCGTTTGGGGAGAGAGAATTTGTGATTTGAGAGGCAGGAAGCTGTGGATGGTGAAGGGAGGCGAACGCTGCTTTCCCAACACCTCCACCGCCTTGTTATTCTGGCCCAGTAGCTGTATGCCCCAGCTATCAACCGCCAGTCCCCTGTCGTCATGGGGATAAGAGCCCCCCCCCCCTCCTCCCTCACACACAAAGACACACAATTACACTTCAATGACAGCTATGTGAAGGCTGTTTATGAAAAGACGCTTGAGGCAGATGTGGATATTTTACACAGAATCAGTCGCAGCCGTTCACTCAGGGACCCGAAGCGCGGGTTATCAAGCATTTGTTACAACAAATTGCCTGCATCGCAGCAAAGAAAATAAAGAAAACACTCTCAACACATCTCTCATCTGCTTATTTAAAGATCACACGAAGCGGAATAAGCAAAGAAGAGGAGCCACCGGGAGTCCTCGAGTCAAGGACGTGGTACTCACTGTTAGTGGAGAGAGGACGGCTCGGCTCCTGAGGTAGATCCACTTCACGCGCATGTTTGTAGGATGTCAAAATGAGTGCACAATTCCGGAATGATGTGTGTGCACGCAATAAAAGGGGAAATATGTGGCGCCTGGCGTTGACTGAAAGCACATGTGTTCAAAGGAGCTCTACTATAGAAGTGCGCTCGCATACAGTTAAACGGACCGAAGAGACCACCTGGGTGCAGCACGGCAGAGATTCCTGCACTTTAACGTCCTCATAAGGGTTCATCTGGATTGCAAATGAGATAATCTACAATATGCATGCAATTTGAGACCCTCCCTGACTGGTAAATGGAGGAACTTGATGAAGCTCACATGACGACATGTACAGATCAGTGGCGCACATTCAAGTGCTGTACGGGTAACATCTTAATCAGCACTCACGGTCACTGCAGTGCGTTCCGGAGTAAGACGTCATAGAGCAGTCGCAAGTGAAGTTCTCCCACTGCTGGATGCACACGCCCATGTTGGCGCACGAGTCCTCCTGGCAGGTCGTGCTCGGGCCTGTGAAACGGGGGAGACACCACAATCAGGCACCAATAAGAGCCGCTGCTGAGCCTTAGCGATGCAGGACCCATGCAGAAGATGTGCACTCTACCAGGAGAGATATACAGCGCGTTGGCCCCCCGAGGGGAGAACCAGGAGCAAACAGTGCCACCACAGCAGCCCGACCTGGAGTACAACACACACTTAGGAAACAGTGCGGGGATCCTCTTTCATGCTGGGTGAGGCAGCAAGCCAAAGCAGACGCAGCAGCTTTTCACATCCTCTGCTGGAACAACTGCCTCAAATCTAGTCTGCAGCTGGGCCGATGTGATGACACTGTCAACATCCCTTTGGGTCCTTTGTTTCGCAGAGTGTGTGCAGGTGGACATGCATGCATTTTTTTTAATCATTCCAACAACTAATGAAGTTTTACGAGAATAAAACTTTTGAACGCTGCATTCCCTCCGTGAACAAGCAAGACACCACATGAAAAGAACCTTATCACAAACGGACTCAAGGATTAAAACGCCATTCGACAATTTTAATAAATGCAGTGACCCTGAGAAGTTTCTCTTTGACTGCGAGTACAGACGGGGAACAGTAGACACGCTAGACAGACGGAGTTGGCGAAGAGAAGAACACGTGGAGCACATCCGTGTGTCTGCGCTGGAGTCAGGCGGCAGCGTCGAGGGTATTCAAAGTCAGACCGGATGTGTGTTTGCTCTCCGTCTACACCACACACAGCTCTCACCTTTGAATACTACTACTGAGAGGGAATGCAGATAAGGACGAGCGCACAGCACGGGTAACTACGTAGACAACTCCCCGTCGGAGTCTAGACAGACACGGGGGAGATCGGGAGGGGGGGAGGTGGGGGGGTATCGACAGAAACCCCCTCCGATAACCATGTTGGAAACAAACAAAAGCAAATAAGGTCAAATAAAAAAAGAAAACAGTCCAAATAAATAGCAGACAGATGCAGGTCAACATAGTCAATTGTCTTGTGCAAGACAATGTGAAGAGACATTGAAAGTGGTGAACAGAGCAAAGTTTGCCGGCTGAAAGTGCACCTCCTGTGTAATGCAGGGTGATGGGCGTGAACCAGGCCTCCTCCACACTGCACGCAAACACAGCGAACGCCGTGTTCGCCAGCGCGGGGGCGGGGGGGGGGGGGACTCGGATGCATTCCTACGGCGCAGCAGAAGGTCGCTCGCTCTCAGCTGGGTAAAAAGTGGCGACATGGTGGTTTTTTTGAGGAAAGGCGGGCACACTTTGAACGTGCAGCGACAGCCTCCTTCTGCTGTGTTTGCCGCCCTCTATCGTGTCACCACTGCTATAGCACGGAGCCGCTCTGTCCTTCTACTGGACCGATCGAATACAAGCATGGCTCCGTTCACACTGCTACAGTGTCCACGCTATCCAGACAACAATCAGTGGTACACTCTATTTCCCCTTGGGGCTCAATCCCTTTCGATTTGTCTGCCACTAATCTCTCGCTGTCGTTTTAGGTTCATAACTTCTTTTTCTTTTCAAAGAGCGAGTGACCACTGCGGCCCCGCGGGAACACCCCGTGCCATGGCGACACCCACGGTGCATTGCACAGAGCAGACTTTCAGGCGAGCAGGCCTCAGAGAGGCTGAGTTTAACCCTCTACCTTGCAGGTCGGCTTTGGTGAAACCAACTTTGTTAGCGCAGAAAGAAAATAACAAACAGAACAGAGGGGAGCGGAAAACAAGAGTAAAGGTTAGTGAGCGACCGGCGCTTCGGCGCAAGTACAGAAATATTTACTTCCTTGAACAGGAGCTTTTATCTGCAGGAATGTTCACTTTGCTTTTCATTCGGACAGAGACGGAGTCAGAGAAGCTGCATCTCTCTGCATCTACAGGTCACATGCACCGCGCGCCACACCTGGACTTAAGTATTGTTTCTGTGTACAACCAAAACACAGTCGGCCGCTTCTTGTATAACATAATGCTCTGCCTTAGGGTTAGAGTTTTGGGGTTCTTGAGAAGAAGGAAAAGACAGCCGGTGAGTGTTTGAGTTCAAGTAGCATCATTTCAGATAGCAGGATTTTGTTTCATTATATTTCGTGGGGAAACCAGAAGTTTCTTGCTTCTTTAATTCAGGTGTCACTACAAAGCTAAAGACATAACCTGAGGCAACATATAAATGAACAAGCTAAGAAACCAAGCTAAGAGTGGAAGTGGTTTTGTGACAAATGCCTGGTGAAGGGAAGAAGGAATTCGGTTGGATTAACAATGCCAGCGTGTGGCTTCAAGGGCTACGGAGGAAACTAACTAGACCAATAAATCTCTTGGAGCAGGTCATGATTCTCATACACCACGGGCCTTCCCTACCTTCACAGCCTCGCTCAATCTGCCCGCTGCGGAAAAGGGCGTCGTTGATGAGATCCGGCAGGCGGCCGTTGAGATCAACCGAGGCCAAGCAGCCTTGGAAGCCCTCCCGAGAAACCACCAGCTTAGGGAGGTTCTGGTACATGTTGGGTCCCAGACCTCCGACGAACAGGTCGCCTGAGGGACACAGCGTCAGTCAGTAAGTCTAAGACGTATCAAAATCATAGAACAAACACTAACAACGAAGGCTTTGTGAAGCGGCCTCCATTCAAAAGGTGACAACGCCGCGGGTTTAGTTCAGACCAAATCTGAGTTATCTCGGAGTTAATTTTCTGTATTATGTTTCCTCATCCTGGCTTGTGGAGGTCATTCCAAGCCAAAGGACCAGTTAGCCTGTCGGAAAGTCAAAGTGGAGCTCCGAGTCTGTTTATAATTCTATCAAACGAATGGTACCAACTTCGTAGCGGTTCTCTGTTGGCGGGTGTAGTGCAGTCGTTCACCCTCATCGTGCACAGTTTCAGTTCTCCAAAGGCCTGGAGGATCTACCTTTGAGGTCCAGGTTCTTGGCTCCGTTGACATTCTGGGTGACGGACTTTGCGTCCACCTTGAGCGTGTGCGTGTTGGAGGCGTCCCTCGTGATGACCACGTTGTGCCACTGGTTATCGTTCAGCGGGTTGTCACTGTTCCCCTTCAACAGACTGGGCCCGTTCCCCAGGTCAAACACATAGTGGATAAACCTGGCAGAAGAGGAGCGCGTTAGCCGAGTGTGTGGTCGCAGTGTGTCTTACGGTTCCAGCGGGTCGTCCACTTGTCGGTCGGTTGAAAGTTTGCCTTCTCCAATCTGCATTCCAAAGCAACTTTGGTCAAGATGGTGAACTTGAAACTGATTCTAAAGCCGCCGGTGTGTTTGTGAATGTTCATTAGTCAGATCCTGGTGGTCAGGTGCCAGTGTGTAGATGGAGAATGTTGACTAGTAATACCCAGAGAACTTCTCCTAGACCACAGAGGCTTCCTGGAGCACCATGTGACTCTGACCGTGACAAGCTGATGTTTCTTTGCTATTTACACAACTGAGCTGCAGGACGGCCTACACACATCTCTGTAATTTGTAACATTTTACAGAATAACTTTAGTGCAGGAGGATAAATACTGTCACCAAAAATCTGATGACAATGAGACCCCCGCTGACGTCTATGTACATGCAGATAGTTTTACTGAATTGTCGGATTGTATTACTTAAATGAAATACAGTTAGATGCACTTTAGATGGACTTTTGGGTCAAGTTTAAACATTTACGATGATGGCGATTACAAGAACCAAATCGGACCTAAAGTGAAGTGGTAAGCTCAGAATTGTGTTGAACGCAGCATTAGTGTGAAGAGCTTTTCAGTGCTCTGCACAAGGGAAAGGCACCGTAGACATGCATCAGCACTGCACCCCCCCCCACCCCTCCTCTCACCCTTTGACCAGCTCTACAGCGATGAAGTCATTCCCGTCTCCGCTGTTGAAGATGATGAAACCGTCGGGCGAGGTGGTTTTGAACTGAAAGAAGAGGTGCATCGTTGTATAGGCCTGCAGAGTGGCCAGGCCCAGGTAGCTGCCCTTTGTCTTGAAGGTCACGGGGTCGGCTATGATGAAGCGCATGCCAAAGCGGGCGTTCAATTCGCAGAAGTCAATGTCCCCGTTCTTGCACATGTCGATGTACTGCATCCCGTTGAATTTGAGGCTCTGTGGGCAGCAGAGTCGAGAGATGTAAATGAATATTGAAGCGCACTCCAGTTCAACACCTTTTCACTGCGATGACAAGTAATAACAACTCAAGTTCAACCGTAACGAATGTTTGTTAAGAGGCTGCATCCGCCTGCGTTGCTTCATACCTGAAGATGCCCTATAAAGGAGGAGGGAGCGGACGAGACAAAGCGCCTCTCGGTCAAGATGCCCGTCTCCACGTTGTTGAACTCCAGACGGGTGTGGTCACCCGCCATCTGACCTGAGACGAGTGAGGGAAGAAAGAGGAGAAGAAGCCAGAGGATGAAGGGGGTGAAGGAGGAGGGACGCTGCCACCTGCAGCCCAGTTTCACGTCGTGTCTTGCTGATGCGACGTCCTCGCCAGAGGTGAGACGGTCAAGATGAAGCAACAACTAATACATGATAACAGATTCTTCACCCCAACACCCTAACAGATGATACGATCATGCATGTCATGTTTGTAGTAAAATCGCGGAACACAACAGTAGTACCTTCAGCCATGTCGTCGTCCACGGTGATTTTGAAGATCTTACCGCGGCGGACCACTCGCACCGAGTGCCACTCGTTGTCGTTGAGCTTTTGTCCGGCATAAAGAACTTCAGGGCCCTTGCCTGAAGAGGAGGGTTAGTTAGTGAAGGGACGGGGGAAGCACGAGCACAAACCAGATCACAAGACATTGCAAACCTTAACTAGGGAAAATATTTTTTCATTTTGTCTAGTCCAATTAAAACCAGAGATGTATCATTTAGAGCGAGCAGCTTTATTTTACAGACAAACATTTGGTTTGGATTTACAATAGAGGAAAACAATAAAACGAATTGTAACTGAAGGCGGTGACACCTTACTTCATTTAACGCTCTCCCTGCTTGTGTCCCTCTTGTGACCACTAGAGGCCAACGCAGCGCCACGGAAAATGAAGCCAAGAATCTGCTGAGTAATATCGGGCGCAGGGTTTGCATTCAGATAAGACCGTTCAGCAGTCACGACAAGTCATTTATTGACCAGCTTTAGGCTTTTTAATGAAGTGACTGGAAATGTTGGCCCGGTCCTGACGTACAGGAATGCTATACAGCTTTTATTCGAATAAAATGATGACAAATTGTTCTAAGAAAACTGTTCAGGCCTGTGATCAAGAGTTTATTATATTATTTCCGACTGAATGTGCAAAACAATTTAATTTGGCTGAATTTTAAATACATTCATTTTCAGTTAATACAAATCTATAGTATATAGTTTGAATTATGATAAATGATTTCTATTTCTCCCTCAGAGAGCCTTCATACTGCTGCATGAGGTCAAATAAGAGTGAGTAAAACAATATAATACAGTGTAGTAGGAAAACAACACCCAGCCCATAGAGTCTGAGTGTAAATGTTGGGCCAGTAGCTACACACATAGCGGGACACATTGAAAACTAGTTGCCTGAATCAACTGAAAAGTGGACCATTTAAAACCGATAGTTTGCATAACTTTAATCTCTGGTTATTATCCGCCCTCCCGATTATCGGAACAAATTCCTCTTATCAGTCCCAAGCATTGGCACATCTCTGTCCTTACATCGAGCACACAGGCTGTAATGAAACATTGATTGTACTGTAGGAAGAAGGCTGCAGAAGAAGAATGTTGACTTACTGGTGTTACAGTTTATCCTGACACAGTCTAGATGGGGAGGGGAGAATAAGTGACAGATGAAATCGCATCCTTCAAGGTTACAGCTGCAGACATCCAAGAACAGGAAAATCCACCTTCCGGGGACGGTCACATGACCCCAGCGGCCATTTTAGCACAGGTGGTTATTGATTGTCAATCGCTCCAAATCAACACCAATCCAATTAGGTATTACGTTCTGTGCTGGAGCGAATGACATTGGACCAATGTTGGTCCATATCACAGTACTAATTAAACTGTGTCCATGTGTTTTAACACTTTAATTGGGAAATTCCCGACTTTGCAGGTATGCTGATATTTAGCATCGTATGAGCATTATTTTATGGAGTTTGGCTACATGTTGTATTGAATACTGTTGCTTGCGATTCAATGGCCACAAAAATTTTGCAACCCAGTGATTAAAGCCAAAATATCTGAATTGAGAGAGTAACATTTTGCAATTTGATTGATTTGTCATCAGCTAGGTATGTCTCTTACTAAACCTCTGTCTATGGAGGAATGTTGCACCTCTGTTCAGCGTGTGACCAGATCCATGTGACCAGGCCGGTCATGTGCCGTCAACCGCGACAGAAAAGTGGGAACAAACAGCATCGAGCCACGCAGCACCAACACCGTACATAGGCCTGAAGACCTTCTCAGCAATTCAGCAATAGTTCGGACTATTAAATTGGCTTTTTTAGAATCTTCAATCAAATTTAGAGTTGCTTGGAAATTAATGCCCGTTAAAAACATGAAACGTGGACTACCGGTGTTCCATGTTTTTGGCAGCTGTGAAACCGATAACACGATGAATGAGTTGTACATTTGTATGAACACACACGCTTTGTATCGAGAGTATGTTTTCTAGTGTCCCACTCGGGCCACCGTGTGGAGGCGCGCTGGGTGCTGGGGCATCGGGCTGTTTGCCAGACGGGCCGCAGGCTCAGGGCCTTTGAAGGGGTGAGTGCCATCTTTGAACAAGGCATGGGAGATGCCAGGTAAACCAAGGGTTACTGATGGACGGACAGAAACACGATCTTGATATCATGAGGAAAAAAAGGAATAATTAAATAGGATGACATAAAACGGACCCACGAGATAAGATTCCGTAGTATCAGTGCAGCACCAAAATGTACTAAAGCTCCCCTGCAGTTCTGAATAGATGGCAGAATATCATCTAAGATGTTGCTGTCTGAAGTTATGCATGTTTGAGCACAAAGCCATCTATGAAAACAATTGGGAAGACTAAAAGGTGCGTCTTTCTATCTGTTCATAATAATGGCCTAGATTAAAATGATCTGTGATCCGTTCAAAAGATGTGCAACGGCGCATGTTACATGTTACAATGATGGGTATCTAGATCTACAAACACATCTCAGCATCAAGGCAGAAAAACTCACAGTCCAGGCAAGTCAAAGACAATACATGCAGCTACAAAGAAAAACTACAGACGCTGGTTAAGTGTGTGATATTATGTCAGGACCTGAAAGAAAAAGGTACCAAAAAACAGAAGGAAACACAAGACGGTGAGGCCTCCTCTCGCCCTGAACGGGAGGTCAATACGATACCTAGGTTGACCGTCAGTTTGACCCTGCCGCTGTCCAGCTCCAGCCTCAGCGTGTCGGCTGACTCGCGGGACGTGGCGGCCATGAGCAGCCCGAACGCCCGCTGGGACATGAAGCGCAGGGAGACGTCCTCGGCCTCCGTGTGCATGACGTTGGGAATCACCACTTTCATGTACATGCTCCCGTCGTACGACAGGATGGACGCCTCTGTGAGAAAAACGAGAGGCCGGAACGCCACGTTATTTTACATTCAGTGAGTTAAAGTATGTGGTACCAGCAACGTTAATGATGGCAAAGTGAGGCAGTGTCCATTAGTGAGGTCATGCTCAAAAAAGACAGATTCCATAATAAATCAGACAAAGTGCATGACAATCTTTTTCATACGGTTCATTTACAGCTTTATGTTCTCTACCCTTCTGAGTAGAAAGATTGTGTGCTATGAAAGCGAACACACACACATACAAGCTGGATACATGCCCTTTAAATATTGATGGGTAGTAAACACACACATGCCCAGTAGCAGGCTGACAGGCACGTGTGCAGAAAAATGTAATCATCATGCGACTTCCTCCTCTCCGTGCAAATACCCCCTTAAAGACGTTGATTTCTCTAATCATCAAATCTTTGGGATTTCTTCAATTATGTTTGCTCTACTTCAGAACAAAATATTGCCCCAACCAACTGAACACGGCGTGTCTTATAGAGTTGATAAGAACAAATGGCAAACAAAAGGACGTTTCGCCGGACTATTCTGTTACATTCGTACTTTGAATGGTAAATGGACGTTACTTGCATCTCTTTCTTCTAGTCTTCCGACCACTCAAAGCGTCTTTAGACTAGATTATCACCCACTCAAACCCATTCATACACTGGGGATGGAACCGCCAAAACCCGGATTGAAGGATGAGCCAACGAGAGAGACAGAGCGAGGGTGATGACGCACTGGAAGCCACTCGGGGAGCGAGACACAGATTGAAAAAGGGTACCCGACCATGACATACCTGTTGTGACACCTCAGCGTTTAAAAGAAAAAGAAGCCCTGTGGCCTCAGAAATGCATTTGGCTGCATCTAGGGAAACCCTGTGAGCATCAGGGACGGGTTGTACCTGTAAACGTGCGATGCCACATGTCACAGGATTTGTTTTGGGTTGTAGAAAAAGGCTTATCCATGCAAACACTAAGGCGCTGCAAATACTATTGCATTTTGCTTTGATGAAATATTCAAATCTATGTGATATTTTGAAAAATTCATGTACAAGAAGCGTGAGATCACTCAACCGTGTAGCCTGCAGGATAATGAGACTTTGTTCTACTGCGTTTCATACGGCACTGGTTCGCCCGCTCTTTGAGTCTCCTGCTCTCCGACAAAAAACGATATGGTGCAACATCCACACACGCATGCACACAACCGGCGTGTCCACAGATGGATCCCCCAACTCAGTGGTTCTCAAATGGGGGTGCGTGTACTCCCGGGTGTACGTGAAGGCACTCCAGGGGGTACGTTAGATTAAAAGAAAATTACGTTTTTTTTCTGATAAATATTCAATAAAACAAAAGAGTATGTTTCCTCCCCAAAACAACGAGTCTCTGCATACCAAGACGGTTTGACCGGACCTGGTACATCCCCCCCGCATCTTTTTTTCAACCCAAAACGCTTTCTGGTCAGTGGGTCATTGGCTTAAAAGATATTTCACAGGGGGTACATCACTGAAAAAGGTTGACAACCACAGACAATGGAGGCAGGTATTGATTTGTGAGTCAGGTCAGATCAAAGGCTCTGCGGGGAGGAGGGGGAGATGGGGGGGGGGGGGCGAGAGTCGATCTGCGGCCCAGAAAAGCCAAACAGACATGGCAAGACGTGGACAGAACCCCCGTAGATAAGACTGATGTCCACTGGGGAGGCAAGTTTGTAGTAATGTTTGTAGCTATGAGAGTTTGACATTGGGATGGAGACACTTTTAGAAGAGTCACTTCTTCAATAACAAAAATGTCTACCTGGCTCTCAAGTACAGTGCCGTATACAACGCTTTCCAATTGAAATGTCCAAACTGGAATTAAATTATCCCTATTTTTTCATAATCAATGTAATATTGAAAAAATTCACATAATAAAAAACATAATACCACACAAAACAAACGGATGTACGTATTTCCTTTTCATGCATCCACAGCTTCACAATTGAGTGAACCACATTGTTTTGCCGCACACCCTGTGCGTCCTCAAACACCACGTCTTGTCTCTTTTCCTGTGAGCGAAGACAAGTGACGCACCGGCTTGTCACGTGACAGTGGGACCGCGACGTGAGAAGATTAGACCACCGAGTGGAACGCTGCGATTACGTCACGCCACATCAGGACACCGCAGGCCGTAACATGGCGCAGTTACTAAATATAGCAGCTGGAGGAATGGGACACAAAGGGGAAGCGCCAGGCTCCGCTGCATAGGATGCTAATGACATCTACACGACCAATGAGACACTATGTATTTTATTTAAATCATAGCGTGCGTTTCACCTGCTCGCCAATACACACTCCTACTTTGCACCACAATTACGTGTATTCAATTTCATGCCGATGCGTTTAATAATTGCTTTGATATTTCAGTCTTGAACAAAGTGGTGGACCGACTCATCGACCTGCCAAAGGCCGTGTAAACAAGCAGGTTTTAGCTCCCGATGGTTCCACACACACACACACACACACACTCAAGCTGTCTGCAGAGGATTGTACCAGTGCTCCTCTGCTCCACAGGCAGCACTGTGCTGTGGCCTTTTAAGCAAGCAGGAACATAATGGCTTTCAGTGTTAAAGGTCCGTTTTTGTGAACAGCATCCTTTCGGGGGAGAAAGTAGTGCCCCATCATGTCCGAATGTCATCGATCAATCTCTGCTGGTGTATGAGGTGGTGATGACGTCCCGTGGCTTCCTGTTGTCTGTGAGAGAGAAAAGGAAGGCTGGTGGATTTTACTCCCCATGCATGGGTTCAGGGCTGCGTTTGTTTTTAGGATGTCAATTTAGAACCAGTGAGGAAGGTTCAAGAGGAACGAAAGGGTAGAAGTCATCTGCCTCACACATTTCTCTACTGGCCGAATTTAGTTTTCCAAAACAATATTACAAAACACAAAAAAGTAGGCAGAAATAAGGTGAGGCTTCAAAGAGCTTGAGGATGTGAGTGTGAAGGATATGACACTTTGACTTTGTTGGTTGTCAACTCTCAGACTTCCACTTCTTCTGGTTTCAATCTGCTCGGATCTTCTTCTTTGATCTCATTTCACATTTATTTTCCAAGCTATCATTTATATAACGCCGCGCTTACCAAGTGAATGCTGAGATCTGACAACACAACGCTGTCACCAGGACAGAGTCCGAGCAGGCGAGAGACACGGGTAGACAACAGGTTGTCCAAGAAGACGAGACGGAAGCCACTCAATGCATCACTTAAGCTTAATTTAAGTAAACGTTTCTTCCACAGTTGTCCGTGAATGCAAAGAGACCAAAAGCAGTATTCTGTGCCAGGAAAAGGCAAAAAATAGAACTTGATTAATCGCATGAATTTCTGTGATTGACAGCAATTAATTGCATTATGTGCAAATAGTGTATTTTATTTTAAAAGAAATGTTATCAGAACAATACAACAGGCACGCTCAGGCAACATCAAGCTAACATACGATATATAAATCTTTTTCTTTTTGAACAGGTACCAGAAAAAACGTTTGTCTTTTATCAGGAACATCATAATGCATAAAGCAGCATATGTAGTTAAGGAAAAAAAAATACTCAGTGATGCAGGTGGAGCAATTACACAATGACTAAATTAACTTTTAACGTCCACTTTTTTATCCATTTCTCTGACTTTACATTTCCTGACTCCTCTTCGGGTGATAAAGAACCGCTCTTCTTCTCAAGAGAAAACCACCTTTCCCAGGGGGCCGATGTTGCACTTCAGACTGCTGTGTGCGTCAGTGAGAGCGACCGTTGGTGCACGTTGTAACTCCTGTATTCTCCTGCCGGCGGTGCGCGGTGGCGCTGATGAGATACTTCCCGTTTGCAGTGGTTATGAATAGCTTTGCGTTTATCGACTACGGCGTCTAGTAGAGGTTGAAACATTTTGAATTTAAATGTGCAGTACCTTTCTCCATGTTCTCGGTTAATGTGAGCAGCAGTGTTAAGCGCCTCCCAGTGCTAAATAAAAAAAGACCTGCTGTTAACGCATGATAAAACCATTGCTGGCTACTCATCATACAGTGAGTGGACAGCAACAAGAGGCAGAATCAATGAGAACCACTGTTTGCTGCTGGTTTAAAACCAGATTGTCTGACCTCTTGTTTTAATTTTCCCATCTATTACTGTCGTCAAGCTCCATGGCCGTGATTAAACTGAGATATATCTAAGACGCTAAGACCAAGAAACAGCCAAGTCTCTTGCGTTTCAAGCTTCCAGCTGTCCATTTGTCTAACTTCATGTCACGATCATGTGAAGGACGCGTGTGTCAGGGCTGTGAACAAGTAAAAGCAAACAGCTGAACCAAACATCCCTTTACATCTGCACAGAAATAAACATCAACGCATTTGCATAAGCGAAGACAGCTGCTGTGATCATACTCATTCATACGCAATCTAAAGCGAACAGCGGGCCCGGCAAGATTCTGCAGGTGATTGCATGCTATGTAACCACAGTGTGTGGAAGAGTGTTTGGACTTGTATGCACACACACACACACACAGCATTTTCAACCGCAGTAACAGTAGGAGTAGCAATGAGGATGTCATTTCAGATGCTAATTAAGCTGCTACTTGTCATTCTGTGTGTATATATGTGTGTGTGTGTGTGTGTGTGTGTGAGAGTGTGTGTGTGTTTTCCAGCAAGCCCTGCACTTTACATAATTAGTAGTCTAATTGAAGCAGAAGATGGAGGAGGAGGAGGCAGAGAGCGATTAAACGAGAGGCTTCACAAACATTCGCTGAGTGAAGGGGTGTGTGTCTGTGTGTGTGTGTGCGCGCACACACTGACGCACAGCGGTCCAACTCAAACCCTCCGAATCGGTTCTTCTTAGGATGGTCTCATCGTTTCCTTTCTTCTAACAGTGACAGGTCTTTGTTTTCATGAACAAACCGACAAAGGCCTCGACTGTCATATTGAATGAGCATGCCTGTCAACCCGTCTCACACACACACACACACACACACACACACACAGACACAGACACACACA